CATTTAATCCCGTGTGAAACTTTCCTATGTCGAAAGTTAATTGAAATCATCAATCATCATTGCTCAACAATATACACTATTTAAAAGTCGTGATCCAAATTGTAGAGATCATAAATATTCAAAACATCGCATTTCCTTCAGTTATAACTATTGTGACAACCTCCTTTCATTTTATGTCCCTAATAACCTTCTTTAACTCTTTGACTACCAATATTGCGATACGAGAAATCCACTGAAAAAACTAGATGCAAATAGCTTACCTTAGAAATTAAATCTTGTTTGGTAGATCTCGAAACAATCGTCTCGCACACGCATACTCCGATAACATCGTTTTCACAAACTTTCTTTGAAATTGTCTTCTAACAGTTTCGTACACAGCTCACCTTTGCTCTTCGACGCCGCACGAAAAACTGACGGAAACCTCAAATGGAAAGGCCTTGGGACACGGTCAATGTCACTGTAAACAAACCGTGACTTCGTATGTATTATGAACAGGAAAAAGTTTAAATAGGACCGTCTGGGCGTAAATAATTTAAACGATCCTTGTCACAAGAACGTTACTCACAACACTAGAGCAGCTTAAGCAATCAATTACATACACCTATCGACAAATGTTTTCTATGAACGCCACATACTCATATCTATGTATATGTAATTAATGAATGTCAATTTCATTGCGGTTTTTTATGCTTCCGCAGAGTAAATATTACAGTATATTAATTAATTATATAGTACATTTGCAGAAAATTAATTTTAATAAATGCTCAACATTATTGCACTAATCCCTGTATCCTAGTTATTTTATTGTGGAGTTTTCGTACCCGGAACTTTTTTATTTTTGGTTCTGTGGTAATGAAACTTTCTTTTGCATATGCGTGAGATGTTTTTGATTAAAATGATACCAACTTCTTTCGGTCGGTGTTTTTTCGTGAATACCTCGTTAACAAAGCCTCGGAGAACTGTTTCGCTAAGGAAAAAGTTGTTTCAAATCGCCCCAAGACCCCTTTCCAGGACTTACACCTATTTTGAAACCCTGTATAATGTTTATTCACTGGTACATAATGATTTACTGATGCACCCACTCCAACCAAAAGTTCGTTATAACAATACAGTTATACAGACAGACCTGTGTCCTTCTGTTGCTCGCTACGTCTTCATCGTTAACAAAACAATCGAACACACACAAGACATCCTGTATAGGTTATACCACGGTATAACGCTCAACGTTCGGTACCGACGGATACGAGAGAAAAAAGGCTGGAGGGAGGCACGTAGGTGGGGAGAAGGTACGACAGTGGTGAGACGCTGGCACGTCACGTCAAGTGCTAAAAGTCCACGGAACAATATCCAACCGCCGCAGGCCCATCCTACCGCGCTACATCTTTCTTCCCTTTTCTCGTGCTGCCGGCTGCTCCGCGCCGCTTCTTCTGTTCCGTATTAGTTATCGTTTATCAGGCCCCCACGGCCAGACAAAACGCGCCGCCGGGAATTGGGTGAGCCATCTGTTGCCAGACATGATCGATAAAAGTCCGCCAAGTGCTATCAGTGCTAAACTGCTATTTCGACGAGCTGCCGCACGTTTCATCCCCTTCACCCCCTTCGTTCCCGCCATCGCATACTCTCCTCCTCTTTCTCTCCACACCAACGACCGTCGTTTGACGAGCGTTCACCACCTTCTGCGATTTCTTTCCCCCTTCACGCGCGAGGTTCCTTCGCGTTCCACCTACCCGCCACCCACCCCCTCTTCGTTCCGTAACATCTGCCCGAAACCGGTCCCCCGGATCACGGAAGTGTATACGCAATAAATTGAATCCGCCCTGCAAATTGCTCGTTATTGCTGATTACGTTTTTATGGATACGCGATACGAGATAATCTTCGACGCGGTACCGAACGAAATTCTTTCTTTTTCTCGTCCCTCTTTTTTATATTATATCGTCTGTTGGGTGGGACGACCCTTCGGATAGAATAATTAGAAGTATTATCGGTTCGAGCTTCGATTTCTAGCGATATGAGTTCTACGGATTTTGTTTAATTACTCACCCGACGATACAGGGACGATTCTCGGATATTTTTTTTGTGATTTGCATGGGGTGGTATGATGATGATTGGACTGCGGATTTTACGGATTTATGGTGTTTAGAGCTCTGTGAAATACAATAGAAGACAACGAGTTTGGTATTTTATTCTTAACTCGACAAAGACGCTTAAAAGAAGAAGGAAATTCCTACTTTTGGTCTTGTGTTTAAGAATCACTTTATAAAATTTTATTCTCTATTAAAAGTCCGCCGTCTAATGATGACAGAATGTCTTCATTGTACTGTATGAAATTAAGCATACCGAATGGTTTAAAGGCATAGCTTAGGTAAAATTTTACCCTAATTTTATATACGATGGCAGAAAATGTGTTATGGAGTTTGTAAAAAAATTCGATTTGGTTTAAGTTTATTGACATTGGCCTCTTATATATTCTTAATTATTATTAATGAATGGTGTGTTAGGAACATGTTTAGGAGTAATGAACTATTATGGCAGTTAGTAACATGTTATAATAGAATTTTTACTCTTTTTCTCGATTTTCAATACATATAAAATGATTGCACCTAGTGAAAGGAAGAGAGGAAGCATGTTTGCTCGTGTATTTTTGTAATTTCGGTGAATTACTTCGTGGATGTAGTAATTCGAGAGAACAATATCGACAGAGCACGCTAGGAGGGACGAAACTTCCCATTTCGCCTTTTCCAATTTCTGGAGTGTCAATTTTGCAACACATGGCCCTTGCGTTATCGCGATGGAAGATTACACTTCCTTTCCCTTTTTCCCCCTCGCCGCCTTTTTTTTCCACTGCGAAGTATCAGACAATTCTTTCGGATACCTTGATCGTATTGTTCGCTCGTTCGCTATAGATCGAGAAAAAATGATTTCATTAGAGGAGCAGATCGGAAAAGCACTTACCCTTCTGTTATTACATGACTTGTGAAACTTTTTAGTCGGATAAGTGAAATAACATATATTTGTCATAATCAAGGTGTCGTTTAAGATTTATAATAACTTAACAAAAACATTATTTTTATAATTTTTGCTTAATTTCTAATTTTCTGTACGTGATTAAATTATCTTTGTATTATTTAGTACCAGTAGTCATTATTAATTTACTTATACTTCCTGAAACATTAATTTGCAATTGATTCCAGGCATTTATACAATGTTATTTTATAATGCATCAAAAGTTAATCGAACTTATCTCATTGTCAGTCTACATGCAATATGTGACTGAAAAATTGTTTCAATAATTCAATAATCAATTGTTTTTGCATATTTTCGGTTCGGTATAATTAACTCATACAGACAATAAACATAAAAATTTTCCCTTGAAATGAGATAATAAATTATTCAATATTCAATATTCTACAGCAAAGATAAATCTAAAAAACGTAAACACTGTTAATCAATAAAAATTCAAAAATATTCCTTTATAAATAGTACTCCAATGAGTATTTTGAACAATTATTTTTTTTGGTCAAGTTCGTACCGTAATAATAAATAATTGATTTGTAATTAAATTCCTGTAATTCGCGTCTCAGTTGTGTGTTCGCAACGAAAACATTCCGATCGCAGTGGATTAAATCCATAAAAAAAAATTTTAATATAACCAGTTACGAGGTCTGCAAAAACTGAAGTATTTTTATGAAAGCACGGCATCAGAAACGCCGCCCGTAAGCTGTTGCGCAGGATGCCTCGTACAGATTAGTGTGAGTAGTGTACACGTCGATGCATACATAAATTGAATCCACTATAGGAATTCCTCGTCAAAGAGAGGAATTCTTCCCTCCTCTTTTTACCCCTCGATACTGCCCGCCTCCTATACACTGTGACGTCGAGCGTGAAACTGCTCAAGTTCGCGACGAACGAACTTTTCCTTATTCCTGAGTAATTTTGAAAAAATTGCGAAACTAAATTTCTAAATCTAAATCCAAACAAAACAATTTGTAAATCTCTTCAAATTTCCGTTTAACTAACAACAACAAGAAACTTTATAGAATTTGTAAATATAGAATTTTCGGTAACTGAGGTAGCTCTACTTAAAAGAAAAGAAAAAAAATACAATTATTGTTAATGAATCCAAATTCGAATAACGGTTCAGAAATTATATCTATAATGTACATAAAATATTCATTTCTGTATACAATTTATTTGTAAAAAATGGTTACATAATGACAAACTAACATTGAATAACTAGCACAAGAGAACTACGTCCATTGTATTCGTGAAAGGAAAATAAGAAGTCTCATTGTACACAAGAATATTATATACAAAATAAACTTTTTTTAAAATGAATGATTATTTTAGAGAACAGAAGCCGTGAATAAACTTTTATATTACTGTCTTGGGACGCCATCTATTTTTCGAATATAACATGTATAATAATACTGAATGCATTTACGATAACATGTTTACTACCAAATGTGAATACGTAATTTGTCCTTATTTTTCGGCAAAAACGTTAGAGAACCAATGGAAGGGAAGTGAGGATTTAAACATATATTAAGCAAGAAATTATATAGTTTAAATTCAGGAGTAACTTGTGTAACCATCACTTGGAGAACCCAAAGTGATCAGATATCCAATAGTTAGATAACCAGTTAGTAAAGACACTTCGGCTGCGAATAGTTTAACCAGGAAATTGAGTGTATCAATTACATAGATAATTGATCAGTTTAATGAACAGTTAGTATCGGTCAACTGCTATCGGAACCGTCACTTACTTATCAATATTCCATTACATATTACGTTATCTACGTCTTTAAAACCGTGAAACAAACTGTATTATTCTACAGTCCCAATTTCCACCACCAAAATACATTACACACCATAGAATCACTCAAAACGGGCATTCCGTGTTTTTTCCCTACCCTCCAAATGGTCAAATAATTTTATTTTTCACTAACAAATACCTGTATGTTTCTATTAATTTCGTATTTCCTTGTATTTGTGTGTTTAGACATGGACCTACCGAAGCACTCGAAAAAGGTTGGCGATCGACGAGGGGAGGATGGTGGGAGCGAGTCGATCGGTGATCGAGATCACAGACTGAACCACGTGTACCAGGGGTCTCTACGGGAAACAGGTTCGACCTTGGAGCCGTACTTCGACGGCGACGACGTAACCGCGTCCTCCAACGAAATTCTACCACCCGCCGTTTGTATTCTTCTGATAGCGTCTTGCCACCTATTCGCTTTCACGTAAATAATGTTCAGGTATAATACAGTAATTCCTCGATGAATGCGACAGGAACAACGACTTTATCCCAACCACTGGGAGATTGCCCTACTGGAACCAGTCAAAACAGAGTAAACAAAAGCTAACCAGAGGCTTGGCTTCGGGCAAAAAAAAAAACAAATTTACTAAGGGCTGAAAACCTTTCTGCCTTGTCATGAATGCTCCGAAGCGTACCTGAGTTTGTTGCTGTCATGGAGGCATTACTGTGTACCGAAGGGTAAGAAGCGACGCGTTCAGTTCAACGACGACAGTCACCGCGATTAGTTCCACCGTCTCGATGACCGTTTTTTTCCCTTCGCTGTGCGTTAATCCATCGGCAGGATGTGAGCCAATCCATTTGAAAATGTTCGTTTTAAACTGACGTTTGTATTCTAATCACGTCATTCCATCGATGATACTCTACCGCATCTGTGAAAGCAATGTTGAAAGTGGTTTGATTCTGTTGCTTCTGTTCGAAGAATTTTTCGTCGGTAAGTAATGATTTATAAATATTAATATTGTTTTAACGGAGTTGAAGAGAATACTTCTTGAATTTATTTTGAAGAGATATTGTCGGGGTTTGTGTTGGGTATGGTTATTTGTAATTTTTTTGGGGGGAGTTTTGTTACTTCTTTGGAATGATTTTTCTTTCTCGGTTTTATAATCTTGCTTTGAAAAAATATACTTTCGTTAAGAAATTTATTAAAAGAATATGTACTGAGAAAGTATGATAGTCTTGACGATGCGTTTCGGTTACGAATATTTATGTGCCATGTTATAATGAAAGTAACGTTCACTTTACACCACTGTTAGAACTTACAGATTAGTACGATTATATGAATTTTTATACGAAGCTTTACTGTCTATGATAATCTGATTGATAAACCGTTTTTGAGCTTAAACTTTAATAAATCGACCCTTTGGACCAAGCTATACTGTACAGTTACAGTTTTAGCATATCCTTCGGACAAGAAAAAGTAAATAAACTAATATTGGTCCCAACTAATTTCTACTAACATATTCTTTGGTATAAATTTATTTTTTGAAAATTATGGTAGCAATTTCAAGGGAAATAAAATAATTTATCTGACACATAAAAGATAGTCTTTTACTATCGATTTGGAAAATTTGTAGGATTGTATCAAATCTTAATGAAAAATTTACAAAAATTTCTTTACTCAATCATTTTTTTTCAATCAAATAGTTCATTCGACAGTGGAATATATCATCATAAATAATACATATGTGTCATGTACAAACATTATATCGCAGTTAAATTGAAACTATTTACTAGTCAGTTGGTTATCCAAAATTGTCTGAATGACTGAACATTAATCAGTCAAAATTATTTAATTATTTAACATTGATTATTTAAAATTATTTAACTGTATAATATTAACTATTTGCAGCTATTAAATATAAAACACTCTTATGCAAATTCCCTCGAGTATGAAAAAAAATTCATTTTTAATCCAGCTGTTTTGTATATTTAGAAAGAAATCGTAAAGGAAATGCCCATTCTATGTATAAACGATAACTGACTATCTTATACGTTAATCATAGTAAAAAGTCAACAGACTTATGAACCTACTAACCATGTTTTCATGCTGTTGAATTCAACGAGTTTCTAAACGACATGTCCTCCACATTTCCTGTACCCGTGACGGCTTGATAGTAATGAATTTAAATTCGCCTCGTTGCCAGAGTAAGAATTTTTATTTCCCCCAATTAAGACGTGTCTCGTTAAAGGAATTTTACCATCCACCTGTTACACGGTAATCTACTTGACCTATGTGCAACTCCACACTGTAAAGTAGCACCACATGCTCCATTCTTTGACAAAAGAATGAGTAACAATAAGAAGAAAAATCTCAAAGTCCTTTCGCATCCACAGGGTATTCACGGAGTTTTGGTACAAGGCTTTATACACGTATAGCACTCATTAAAACGAAGGAAAAAATATTAGTACACTAACTTTTTATATTATTGTGTTCTCAGTACAGAATTAATAATAACATGAAAAACATAATATAAATCGAAAAACAGTCCATTCATTCTTTCACTTTTCTATTCCTCTTAATAATTACTATAAGTAATGTCAACTATGCAATGCGTCACGAATTTCTGAACAATCTGTATCTCTCAGGACATTCGGAAAGAATAAGATAACTTTCAGTTTCGTATCTTAAAATATCTCAACGTCACACACTTCCATTTTTACGTACACAGTAAAACTCCATTTATTGCAACGACATTTTATTGATTAATAAATATACTACGTATTTTTATGCATCTAACCCAGAACTTGAGAAATGCAATAAATTAAAGATTCATTGAAATCATCCCAGGAACTCCTCATTTCCGGAACTCGAAGCTATTTTGGGCTACTTACAGACCTCACCAGACGTTCCCCTTTTCCCCCCCACGGAAGTCTTTCGAAGCTACATCCTCCCCAAATTAAACCCGACTCGGGCGCAACAAAAGCGACCACAAGTACGTGTAAGCGTTCCTCCCGGGTTCTCCCGGCTCATCCCGGCGTGTTCAACCATTGAACTAGGTAAATCGGTCCTGGGATACGGTGGAACAGATTCCTTGTTTATTCAGATTCAAGCGGTCGACGACGACGGTATATTTATTAACCGGTGGGATAGCACATCCACGAACCGGTATTACGGGATTCGTCACGGCGTGAACGTGGAATTAATATTCTAACGAATATCGGTGGGAGGCGTAACAGTAGGAACGAAGATCGTCGCGAGTTCCTCGTCATGTCGAACAGCCCCCGCAACGCGAATTGTCCGTCCAGACTTAACGAGATATCTCGTTAGCACTGCATGTTCGTTCGCGATCCCTCAATCTCTGTCTCACTTCAACACGGTCCGTCGATTGTCTGATCTGTTGCAATGATAGAATTATTAAATCTCGGTTCTCTCGGTTTTTCCTTCTTTCTTCGTTTTTTTTTCTTTTGTTTTAATCCATTCTCGACTCGCCTACCAGCCGGTTCTCCGGTCCCTGTTCGTTTTCCTCGCTTTGTTCGCCGACCCGACGCTTTATTACGAACGTTGACGAGAATATCAAATAGATGGGATAAATATGTAGTTGGCAGTGAAAGTTAATTACGTACCATTTCGTGTAAACTGTAAACGATGGAAATAATGTAGTGCAATGGAACGTTCGGTAGGAAATAGATCGTATATATGCCCTTTATTTTGTAAAGCACATCTCATGTAATTACCATTTCATGGTTTATTTTGTAAGATATTCTTCATACAAATACCATTCTGTATTTTATTTAAAAGTATTAAGTCATCAATTTGCGTTAATGAATATTTCAACGTAGATATCATCGAGGGAAAAGCCAATTTTATTTCGTGTCTCATATCGCTCAAATGGAAAAGTAATAAATTGGCTACTGTTTACGATTCGCGGAAACCCATACATATCCCTGATCAATTACAGGTAGCAATACAATTATTTATATTTTTTTTAAAAAACGTGTATGCACTGATTATTGCATTAGTAATAGAAAGAAAATAGAAATGCTGGACTGAGTTTTGTAGTTATCGTTACAAGACATGTGTATAATAGAAAATTACCATGTATACATTTGATTGAACCAACTCGTGTATCTGATTAAACTATCGTTTCAAAAATATATACATCTGGGTCTATTTTGACCCACATTTTTGTGAGCGTCGGATAAGAGCCTCAGAGGCTATCAATACAGAATAGCTGAAATTGATAATTCTAAAATGTTTTACTTCTTTTAATACAGTTTCTTTATTTAGTAAAATGGGAACATTCAATTTCTAATTATTTATTATATTTACATATTATTATATTGTTCATTAGAAATTAATAAAAGGGCCTCAGAAGCTCTTCTATCTATATGAAGGTGAAAGTCTCGGTCACCAGCGATCGACATAGTGTAATTAGTAGACTGCAGATTTTATACATTTATAGCCCATAGGACTCTGTGAAATACAATAAAAAACAAAACGTTTATCGGATCCAATAATTTTTCTATTTTAGTACGAACCGAATAAGGTACATACGGAGGAAAAATAAATTTCTACATATGTTCCTGTCTTTATAAATTACTTTAAAAAATGTTATTTTACATTAAAATCCGCAGTCTAGTCATTAAAAACTAAGGTGCCAATTACATCGGTGACCAACACAGTGGCACTGAAAATTGAAGTGACGGTCACCGGTGACCGTCAAGGCATTCAACATGTTCGAAAAAGCACTCAGACGAAATCAATCATCCAAACGGGAACAAAGAGAAGCTAATCCCGAATTCTAGCTAGCGCGAGGGTATTATGGTAATTGCAATCGAGTCGGTTGTAACGATAACGATAAACGCAGTCCCTGAGAAGAAACTATAATTATTCGTTCGTCGTTCGAACGCACCGTTTCGCCTCTCACCCGCCCCGAGAATCGAAAATTTAACCGAGTCGCGGCGAGGCAAACAAGCAAGCAGGCACAAAGTCGTTAATTAAAGTCGTCGTGTGAGCGAAAAGGCAAAGTTGTACCCGTGCTTTCGATACTACCGTAATCGGTATGCATGCACAGCGAGAGTGGTCGTGTTTGTTCGTATGATGAGCTTCCACCGTAAGTAGTGTAAAAAAAAAAAAAATAATAATAAATCCGTGAAGACAAAGGAGGAAGTGAAACACGGAGCTATTGTAAGAAACGTATTCCTTTGCTTTTGCAAGAAATGAAAACACAAGAATAAGAGACAACATTAATATCGAGCAGTGATCTCGAGGAGCCACGGGTGATTGCGATTGTGTGCTAGTATGCGTGTGATGAGGATCGTGTAATCTTATGAAATACATACATATACGTACGATTTGTTGCGTACAGGTGCGAGCAATCGTGTTTTTTTGTATGAATAAACTACCCTTTATCATTTTTGAATTTGAAAGTAGAGACGTCGGTTTAGGTTATTGTTAATATGATTTTTGTATATTTTGGTAGATTGA